TACTCAGCCAGTCAGCCACTGGTAAGGGCTGGATCTTTTTCTTACAGTGTTCAGTGAAAATATCGCAATATTTCAAGTATCATGATGCATCGTGATAGAATCGCATCGTGGCATGTGAATCGTGATTCGAATCGAATCATGACTTCTTTGCCAATACCCACCCCTAATTGCAGTGGTGCAGAAAAACATGCTGCAGAAGGTAAACTGTTCCACCATGTATACTGAATACTGCTACAGCAATTGAAGCTAGTGAAACATTGCAGCAACGACAGAGGAATAGTATCTCATGATGTCATACTATACCAGCGAATAAAGAAAATCATCAACCAGGCTAAAAAGAAAAACATTCTTTAAAGTGTCCCAGTGCTGAACTGGGAATGTAGACTGGTGGCGTACAGACTGGAAGAGCCCTAGTGGAAAACCAAACCTCCAAAGAGCTGCCACTTCTTGGAAATCCATCTGAGGAGATATTCCTGAGATCCTGCTGATTTGTTATCAGGTTGGGAGAGAAGTTCCTCCTGTTTAGATGCCTACAGAACGCTTTGTACTAATTCAGCTCTCTTGCTGCTGAATGTAGAATATCTGTTCAGGCTAAAAAAAACTCAAGTTAAACTCCATCAATATGACAAGCTGAGGAAGGAACTGAATGCAAACTATTCATATTTAGCAAAGCTTTAAATCTTGTGGTAAATTCTCACTGTAAATGGATGATGCTTAATTTAGCACTCGACCGCATGTTGGAAATTCGCCTTTTTTAAAACCAGGACTAATCCACTTTGAAGAAGTGAAAACTAAATCTGTCCACCGAGTCCAATGAAAGACAATCAGACTGTCTTTATTAGTTACCATTTCAAATGCTTATTAACAGATACAGCCAATCACATGGCAGGAACTCTGCTTCAGACTAGATGCAGAGGTGAACACTTGTTGGAGCTCAAACTGAGCCTAAGAAAGAGGAAGAAAGAAGATTTCAGTGACTTTGAAAGTAGACTAGTCTCCAGTGCATTGATATGCAGGATCCAACGTACGTTTTCAATCCTTGTTGAATAGATGTTAGTAAAAGTGGAGCAGCTCTGCAGTCAAAAGCTGCTCCAACCCAGCAGAAGCAGACTGAGGTTATTCAAGAGGCTGGATAAGAAGCCACAGATCCACCCTGAAGCTTTGAGGGTTAAGCTGCTGAAGAACAAGCCTGATTAAAGAAAAATAACATTTTGTTTCTTGTCTGTCTAACACACCGTGACTCTCATCTGCTTTGGGACCATCTTTAAAAAATCTATAGTGGGATTAATGCTAAAGATGGTATAATTTGGAAAATTCTAATTGAAATTGTGTATCCCGTTTACTGGACTCTGAAGGGCCTTTTTCACATGCTTCTCAAACCCCTAAACTGTGACCAGATAAAATGACGGTTGAGACCTTACAGGGTCTGTGGGGCATCCATGAGGGATAAACATCAGAGAGAAGCTGCAGAGTAATCCAAGATTGTCACTCTTAGAAAATGTGGTTACCATGGTGATTCCCACTTTTACTGTGGAGTAGCAGCAAGGGAGCTGAAACAATGTGCATCAGAGAGGACTTTGTTAACCCAAGGAAAGCCAGATAGACTGGGTGGAAGGGATTAAGGAAACCTCGCTTCCTCCTTTCTTATTCTGAGGCACACGAGTATAGGAATACGGTACAAACCAAAGTTAAATGTTTCTTATTTTCAATCATCATCTTTTACAGCCCCTGGAAACAGAAAAGTAGTTCAATCCAACTGAAGGCGCCCTGAGATTTTAACACGTAATGTGCCACTCCTCATGGAAAATGCTGTCTTCCTTATAATACAGCTTCTTTCCACTGGGGGAGCCAAAATCAACCAAACCTCAAAGTTCTTCAGAACTGTTTTCAATTCCATTAAATTCATTTTTTCTATACAGCACCAATTCACAACACATGTCACTTCAAGGCACTTTACCGTTCACCAGACCATACAGTCAGATTGATTCAAAGTTTTCTATCTAAAGAAAACCAGTTGATTGCATCGACTCATTGACTCGAATGCAATCCCTCACACTAAGCATGCTTGTAGCGACAGTGGAGAGGAAAAACTCCCTTTGATCAGGAAAAAACTTCCAGCAGTCTAAGCCTATAGCAGCATAACTATAGAGATAGCTCAGGATAACCTGAGCCACCCTAACTATCAGCTTTATCAAAAAGGAAAGTTTTAAGCCTAGCCTTAAAAGTAGACAGGGTGTCTGCCTCACGGACTAAAACTGGTAGTTGGTTCCACAGGAGAGGAGCCTGATAACTAAAAGATCTGCCTCCCATTCTACTTTTAGAAATTCTAGGAATCACTAGTAAACCTGCAGATTGAGAGCGAAGTGCTCTGTTAGGAACATAAGGAACAATAGATCTCTGATTTCTATGTGAGAAGGAGG